CATTTTTACCATTAAAGCACTTGAGCTAAATTTCCCATCCAGGAGCCATGGTGTAGGATGAATGTTGGGCTGTCTTGATTTTTTTTTTGTACCAGGAATCAAACTCAGGATGTTACACTTGCCATGCATGTGCTTATGCCACTGAAAATCCCTGGTCCCTTCTGTTTTGTTTTGTATGGAGGTTTTTGAGTGCTTAAAGTGGAAAGACTTGTTGCTAGTACTGTATAGAAATCTATTTACTTAGTCTGCTTTTCTGTGATGTACTTTTGGCATGGCTAACCATAGTCTTTTGCCTCTGCCCTAAATTTTGAGCTTCTCTGTTAATCTGTGAGTGGAGGATTCAGTGTAAATATCTTGACACTGAGTTCTTTGGGAATGTATTTTAATATTATCAATGTCTTGTTAGTGGCAAACAGAGAAAATGCCTTAGTAACAGCAATTGTGCAACCCTGGCTTTATCAACCAAATCACGTACAGTGTTTTATCTAGATAACCTAGGTACGTACTACTTGACAGTTTACTCTAAGTGACATTCAGGCACCACATTTGTTTACATACTGTCCAGAGCTTCACCCAGGCAGGTGTCATTTCAACTAGTAAGTTCTTTTTGTTGTTGCTGTTGTTTTGTTTTGTTTTGTTTTTTTGGTACCAACAATTAACTGAGAACCTCATGCTTACCAGGCATATACTGTGCCACTGGGTTATATTCCTGGCCCTCTATTATTGTATTGAATAAATTTGATATGAATGTCATTTTAATATTTTCTATTATTTTATAAAAATTAAAGAAAATATGCAACTTTTGGTAATTCTGTATTTAAATAATGGACTGATAAATGGTTAACATACTATAGGAATCAATTATCTGCCATCCTCAGCAATAAAAAAGAAATCCACAATTATTGCATAAACACTAAGAAAACTCAGATATTGACATGCATATAATATGTGCAGTGGTACCTTGGTTCATCAACTTAATTAGTTCCACAATTCTGGAAAAGATGGCCACTTTCTTTTATGCAGAAAAGATGGCTGCAGTCATATTCATCACCTGATGCAGAGTTTGTCAATAAACTCAAAATGTTTCCAAATGCTTCTGTTTGAGAACCAAATTGCTCGCAAACAAAAACATTCATGAACCAAGGTACCACTGTACTAAGTACAAGCTATATTTTCTCTAATGGTAGAAAAGTATTGAATAGTAATTATATAGAGTTAACTGTCTAGTGATTGATAAAGCTTAATGTTTATACTGTTAAAATATAGTGACTTCTGGAACAGGAGAATGCAAGAAGAAAAATTTGAAATCTTAAACTATAAGATATGAAATGTAGGAAAAGGAAATGAGAAGTGTTCATATTAGAGAGTATAAAGATGTTTATAGAATTAGATAAATGTAACAAAATTACTAATTAGACACAGAAGATTAAACAGCGATGAAGGAAAATGTTTGGAGAATAAGAATGAGAAAAATGAAAGGGATGAAATTAAAAGGACAAAGGAAAATAAAAGAAATATGGAAAAGAAAATGTTTCACTGTAATTTTGAATGTGGTTTCCTTCCAAGATCTACAGTTTTAGTCTAGCAATTCTTGGTTTTCTCAACGGTCCCTATCCTTTCCCTATGTTGTGGTAGTATCTTAGTTAAAATGTGTCCCTGCTTATGCCAGGAGATAGAGAATGCAGTGATACGTCAAGGGCTTGAAAAACCAATGGTAAGACCTTCAAAACCAGAGCTTTTTAAACGGGGTTTCAGTTCTGACCATAGGAGCCGATCTGTGTCCTTTTTAGCTGAGATCTTAGCCTTCAGAGGATCTCTTTTTTTTTCTTTTAAAGAGGGTAAAACTAAACATAACAAAATAGAACAAAGTAGATCAGAAGAAAACAATGTAAGTGACATAGATGTCAAAGCAAGATAATAGGATATCTACCATGGTTACCGTAATGTCTTTTGTTTTCTTCCAAATAGTTGTCCATACCTTCACACACAATGAATTCATACAAAGCAAAGTAGTATTAAACTGATCAGAACAGAGTGAGGAAGGCATTATCGGCCTTCAAAATCAGACAATAGGAAAGTCAACAATGGCTGCCATAATGTCTCTTATTCTTGTTCAAATTAGCTGTCCATATCTTTATGTATGTTGAAATTAAACTACAAAACAGGCTAAAACCACTTTGAACAAAGAATAATAGCAGGATTTCACAGCATGATGATACTATCCACAATGGATACCATAATATCTCTTTTTCTTCAAAGTAGCTCTTCATTTCATCACGCATAATATAATTGATTCTCATATGGTTTAGGGGAAATTATACACATGTATAAGCCTCTACATGTATACCTATCTTTTCTGTATTAGAGGGCAAAACAAAACAAATTACTAGAAAAACACGAAACAAAAAAGACAAATAAATAACAATAGCAAAGAGCCCAAAACGATGATACAGTCCTTCAAAACAAGGTGGTAGGATAACTAGGGTTGTTATTTTACATAATGTTCTTCAAGAGTTCAGAGGATCTCTTTTCTAAACCCTTTTCTCTTCTGTTTTCTGTGGCTGTGTCTCATACAGTCATTGTTGGAGGGTAACACTGGGGTCCTGAAGCGAAAGTGTCTTGTGGCTCTTCTTGAATTCCCAGATTCAACCAGTCAACTCTTTCCTGGAATAGTGCCCAACCACCTTCTCCTCAATAATGTGTTAGTCATCTGCGCTGGGATCTCTCACCAGCTGTTTCTTGTCAAAGAACTCCATGGGAGTAGAACTCTTTCATCAGGGACCCAGCCTGAGCCCTTGATCACCTACCTGCCAGAGGTTACAGCACAGAAATGAAGCAGACAGAAATAGTCATGCAAAATGGGGAACTGGGGTGGTCTGAAGTTTGATGAAGTCGGAGACCAGGAGGTTCAATGTTGCTTATGATTATTGAAATTATTCAGTAGTGAGCTTGTGATGGGAAAGGGGGGAAACAATCGGTGACCTGCTGATGCAGGCAGAGCTGATAAATTGAGGAACAAAGCATTCTAGCATAGTTTTCAGGACAGTAGCTCAAAGCTAATAAGTAACCTGCTTAGCTGCTACTAAGGCTGTTGGTCTGGGAAAGAAATTTAAGAGTCACACAGACCTCAGCGGCAGCATTTATCCAGGTTTGGGGTGCCAGGGCACCGCTGGTCATTACTGGCCTCAGTTCTGGCCAGTGGCATGTGGATTTCATGCAAGATGACAAAGGAAGTCCCTCTCTCAGATACGTAGGCCTTGGACTTTCTCTTTCAGGGTAAAACTTGCCAGTTATAAATTAATCACAGCCTCTTCTGCTCTGCCTCAAGGTGGTCTCACACAGTCTTCACTGTCCTTGCAGATCTCATCAATTAACCAGTCCATTCCACTGCCGCAGATTCTTCCTGGGCCTTGTGGAGTCCCCAGTGGTCACTTTGTTTTTGCAGATTCAGTCTACCTTTCTCAAGAGCCATGGGTTGGGAACCGGGGAGAAAGTCCACACTGTTTCTTTCCATCCTTTTGTTTGTGGTCTGTCTTCAACTTCTCTGTAGCTTTTTTCTGTCAGTTCATTCTCAATTCCTTGTGTTATACTTTTTTCTCTTTTCTTCACTGAAATTTTTACTTTGCAGTATCTGGTTTCTGAATCTTACAGAGACAGAAATGTTGCTGTTTGTTATACCACCATTTTCATTTCTTAAGTCTATTAGGATGGCTTACTAGTACATTTAAGAAACAACGTATATAGAAAATAGTTTGAGGAATAGGCAAATTGCTTTTATCATCAGTAATGACAATGATCCATATCGCACATCAATTCTGGTACCATAATTTCTGTCAAATCAAAAGCGTTATTGTGTGTCCTCATCCTTCTTACTCACCAAATCTGATGCCTTACAACTGTGACTCTTCCCCAAATCAAAATGACTATGAAAGATTTTAAATTTGAATGGTTCACCACAAGGAAAGACACAAAAAGTTATGCTCAATGATCAAAGGAAAAATTAGGAATTTTAAAATATCTTTAGACATAAAAACATGAATACAGAATTTACCAAAACTTATAGGATGCAACAGAAGCAGTGCTTGGGGAAATATTAACAACAACAACACTCTATAAACAAAAAGAAACATCTTAAGTAACCTAATATTGTACCTCAAGATACTAGAAAAAGTCTATATAATATATAGAAATGTGTACAATATATGGCCTCAGAGTTAGCAGAAGGTAACAAAAATCAGAGCAGCATTAAACAAATTTGGAGAATAGAAAAATGATAGAAAATAACAAGATTAAAAGATCATTTTTTAAAATAAAAAATTGATGAAACTTCACTGAGACTAAAAAAGTAATAAGAGAAATGTCTGAGAAAATCAAAAAATGAGGGAGGATCTAGAATGACCATAAAAGATGAAGTCTCATCAGTAGTTACTTTGGTAATTAGAGAAAGAAACTGTAGATTTAGAAACTAAAAAGAGGCAACCCGTAGACAAACCTAAAAGGATTGTTGCTGTTTAAAAACCTATGAGCTGTTGTAACTTTCCTTCCCTTTTCATTTGATAGGTTTTTGATAATTACTTTTGAATTTTTAGCAGCAGTTACATAGTGAAGTGTTGGAAAAGGAGCTCATAAATTTCTCTATGTAATTAAGACATATATACTTAGTGAAAGTTTTATCCCTTTATTCTAAAATTCTTCCATGCCATGAGATTTACCTATATATTTAAAGTGACAGTGTGTTTGACTATATTGTACTGTGAAAGACAAAATGGAAATGTTCCTTCCCACAGGCAAACTTGAGATTTAACAGGATGTTCTTAGTGTTTTGTTTTAATCAACTTGATTCCATAAAATGATGGAATGTGTGAGGAAATTTAGATTTATTACACTGTAAGATTGCTATGATATGTGTACCCTATTTTGTCTTAATATTTACAATTTTTTGAGGTAGGTTTTACTTTTAAATTTTAAAAAAAATCAATCTCTTACTTTATTTTTTCCAGTGAATATTACTTCTGCCAGGCAATTAACCGGATGTAGTCGCTTCGGCCATATTTTTCCTTCATCTGCTTACCAGCATATTAAGATGCATAAGAGAATTCTGGGGCACTTGTCTTCTGTCTACTGTGTAGCATTTGACCGAAGTGGGAGAAGAATTTTTACAGTAAGTTTAAAAGTTATGATATGTAACTTTGCAGATTTTTAACAATTGAAGTTAGACTTTAGGACACTGCACTATGCTTTGTAGGCAATTTATTCTTTTTGGACATAGGAATATATGAAAAGGTGAGTAGAAATTGAAAATCTAATATAGATGAAGGGCAAACTTTCATGTCCATTATCTTTTGGGAAATTTAACTTAAAAATTAAGATTTTGAAAGTCATACATTCCAGACTTAATTTATATGAAATAAGTGTGGTCAGTTTAGTTTCATCTCAACACTTACTAAAATGAAATTATGTAAGTAGCACTTTCTATGTGTCAGCTAGTATAACTGCTGCCAGTTTTGCTTAATTAATGATTATGTCACCCTTATAATTGAGTAGTTGAATTACACAATAATGAAGATCATACTTACATTTTGCCTGTCATTTTATTATATTTCATTTTATTTTTTTGGTACTGGAAATCACTCTCAGGACCTTATGCTTTCCGCAAAGGCACTGTGCCACTGAGCTAAATACCTAGCCCTATGTTTTTATTTTAATATTAATTATTTTCAAAATTTGCTTTTTATTAACTGTATTTTACTGTTGCTTTTGAGGAGAAAATTGTAGTACAGTAGTATATCTAAGAAATGTTAAACTTGTTGCTTCATTACTAAGTTAACAGAGGTAGGAGTGATAATGTAACTTAACATTTTCTTTATATACGGTGTAACAAACGAAGTTCATGCTTTGAGAAGTTATGAATCCTTAGGCTTATTATAGACTGTTACATTGATGACTTCATGTTTGTTACTGCGCACTTATTTGAAGGTTCATGATCATGACGAGGATGTTAAATGTCATGTTATTTTGTTTTATTTTATTTATTTATTGGTACTGAGAATCGAACTCATGATCTAATGCCTGCTTAGGCAGGCACTTACGATGCTGAGCTAAATCTGCAGCCCTTGAATGTCATTTTAAATAAATATTTTTTATTTACCACATTACAGTCAAATTGATTTTTGTTACTTTTAAATTCATTTGAAATTTTCAATCGGTACATCAAGATAATGCTTTTACCTGAAATTATTAATGGACTCAGGTTTCCTAAATTGGGAGTATATTTAGAAGAAATATATTTCAGCATTTAAGAAGAATAAGAGTTATTCTCTAAAGAAAGAAATAATGACAGAAATGCTTAATGCCTGTCACATAAAAATATATTCAAAATAGTTTAAGTTTTCAGGAGTAGAAGTAGTTTTAAGGAACTTTTCACAAATGCAGTTGTTAGTTTGTACAATGCCTAGTCAATCCTGTCATCTCCACATAATTTATATTTTTTTGTTGGCTCTATGTTATATGTGGAAAGGAGACTAAAAAGCAAAGGCTAGGAAACAACTTAAATTCTCCTTTTTGCCTTTTGGGGGGTATGGGGGCAGATTTGTATAAATCTTCCATCCTTTTGTTATTATAGGGTTCAGATGACTGTTTGGTGAAAATTTGGGCCACAGATGATGGGCGCCTACTTGCTACACTTCGAGGGCACTCTGCTGAAATCTCTGACATGGCTGTTAACTATGAAAATACACTCATTGCTGCAGGCAGCTGTGATAAAGTTGTAAGAGTATGGTGTCTTCGAACTTGTGCACCAGTTGCTGTCCTTCAGGGACATTCAGCTTCTATAACTTCCATACAGGTAAGAAAAATTATAAGATATTTCCAATGCATCTAGTAAAAATCTGAATTCTCTCATCATTTGTTACATTTTATAGATAAAAGACATAGAATGACAACAGAAAAATAATCTTAGGGATTTTGTCCCTATCCTGCAGATACATTTATTTTTGTCTTTTATTTTGAGACAAGGTTTCACTGTACAGTTCAGGCTGGCCTTGACCTCATTTTGTAGCCCAGGCTGACCTCAAACTTGCAGAAATCCTTCTGCCTCAGCCTCCCAAGTGCTGGAATTACGGGTATGCACCATCATGCCTGGCTTGAAGACATCTATTTTTAAAATTTCATTGCCTTTTAAAAAATATGCATTAGTCCATATTTGTAGTACCTAATGATTACATTTATTTTAGGTAGTTAGTAGATGCACGTAACACATCTAAGTTCTTTTTTCCCTGTCCTTGTAGCCCACACCATTTTTTTTTGCCAGCATCAGATTCCTTTTTTTAGAGGGGATTATTAATGTTTTGGCCCTTGGTTTTTGAGACAGTTTCACTATGTATTTCAGGATGCCTTAAACTTACTGTGTAGCCTAACCTGGTCTTGAACTTGCAGTGCTCCTCTTCCCTCAGCCTCCCAAGTTCTGGGATCATAGGCATGTGTCACCATGCCTAGCACCACCTTTATTTATCTTTTAAGTCCTTATTTTATGATTAATTGTTATACTACAAAATAATGACCAAACCAAATAGGGAAAAAGCATAGGAAACACATGAGATAATTGTACTAAATCAAGATATGATTTTAGGTACATTATCCATGATGTATTACACCATTTTTCTCTTTTTGCATGTTACCTGCCTTTTATTTTGCACTTTAGTTGTATACTGTTTGTCATATTAGAGAAACTGTGATATTTAAGCTTGAATGTCTGATTTATTTCATTTAGTGGATTTTCAAGGTATATCCAGTTTTCTACAAATGACTCAAGTTTATCCTTTATGGCAGGATAGTCTTCCATTGAGTATTAATACTGCATTTTCTTTATCCATTAATCTGTTGATGGATATACAGGCTGTTTCCAGTATTTAAACTTATGAATTTTGTTGCTATAAACATGTATATGCATCATCACTGTGATATGATGTTTTTAAATCTTTTGGGATGACAGCAAGAAGGGGAATAGCTGAGTCAAGTGGAATTTCTATTTTTAGTTTTTTAGGGAATCTCCATACTAATTTCCATAGTGTATGTAGCAGTTTGCCCTCTCAACCACAATGAAGAAGTGTTCCTTTTTACTCACAGTTTCTCCAGTATTTGTTATTGGTTGATTCTTGATGATAGTCATTCTTTCTAGAGTGAGATGGATCTCTGGGTTTTTTTTGTGTGTGTGTTTTACTTTTTTGTTTGTTTTTAGGTGCTAGGTATCACCTTGTAAATCTGAGGCAAGTGCTATGCCAATGAGCCACATTCCATCCCTCCTCCGTGTTGTTTTCACATGCAGTTTTTCAGTATATAATGATGTTAAACATTTTTTAATGTTTTTATTGGCTCTTGATACTTCTTTTATCTCAGAAGTGTCTATTCATTTCAAATGCCCACATTTTTAGTTTAATCTTTGATTTTAGGAAGTCTAATTATTTCTAAAGAATAGTTGGCAAAAATTTTTTATCATTCTGTATGTTGTCTATTCTTGGTAGGCTTCGTCATTGAGAAGTGTTTTTTTTTTTTTTTTTTAATTTGATGTGGTTCTTTTTGTTGACTCTTGACATTATTTCTTGTGTAACCATGGTTCTGCTCAGAAAGTCTTTGCTATATTTGTCATCAGATATTTTGCCTGTTATGTCTTCTAGCAGATTGTTTTCTTATGTTTAGATCTTCGATTCATTTTGAATTTTGTTTACCCCATGGTGAGAGATACAGGTATCAATCTTCAGTATGTATATAGCCAGTTTTCCCAGTATCAGTTGTTCAGGAAACAATCTTTTCTCCAGCGAAAGGATGTGTCCCCTTTGTCAATGATAGGTAGCTGAGTGTACTTGCAGTTGTTTCTGCATCCTTTGTTCTGTTTATTTGATCCACATGTTGTTGTTGTTTTTTCCAGGATTGTGATGGCCCCTGCTTTGCCTTTGTTGCTCAGAATTGCTCTTGCTATTCTAGTCTATTTTGGTTCCATATGAATTTTAGGATTACTTTCTCTAGTTTGTGAGGAAGTTTTCTATAGTTTTTCTAGTCTGTTACTGGAATTGCATACTGTTGAGCCATCATGGCAGTTTTCTGTAAAAGGAGCACACTGAAGAGTATACAAAAACCATGTCTATTCTTGAAAAATATTTCTATTCATGAATTATTAATTTTATGAGTTTTATTATATTAAACAGTACTTAAAAAGCAAATAAAGTGAATTTTTAAAAAATATTTATTGTAAATAAAGTGAATTTTAAAAAAATATTTATTGAGTTTTTATGAAAAAGCATCAGCTGTTTTTGGTTTACAAAGTCTAAAGTACAACAATAAAAATAAATTCCTACGTGAAGTGCAGTGCAAATACCAGTAGATCTTAATTTTTGCTTCAGTTGTCACACATAAGGTAGTCTTCAGACATAACAACTGCACATTTCTGCATGCGCTTAACTTTTCTGTCTTTTTTTATAGGAAATACTTGATATCTCACTGATATTGCTATTTTATCAGAAGCTTCCTATACTGTAAACCATACACTTAGCAGAGAACTAAGACAGCAATAAAATATCAAATATATAATACATGCTTAGAATAGACATCAACATTTTCACATCAGCTCTGTACTTGCTTATAAACCCTAAAATATAAATATAACATCAGAAATAAATTCTAATGTGAAGAACAGTGAAAATACCAATGGAACTCTACAACAAATGTAATCTTTGCTTTAATTGTGTCAGCTAAGGCAGTCTTCACACATGACAACTGTGCGTTCCATACACACATCTTGCTTACACTGACAGTGCAAGTGCTTAGCTTTCCTGTTTTTTTTTTTGTAGGGTATACTCAATATCTCACTGGTCCTACTGTTTTGTTAGGAGCTTCTTACTGTAATATACAGTGTACACTTAGCAGAAAAATCAAAGTATCAATAATGTATATCAAGTATGTCATGAGTGCTTAGAATACACATCAGCTGTTTCCTTGCTTACACAACCTAAAAGATAACATCAGAAATAAATACCTATATGAAGTACAGTGTAAATACAAACAAAAGTGTACCGTAGAAATAATCTTTGTTTCAATTGTCATACCCAAAGCAGTCTTCATACATGAATATTGCATGATCTGTGCACAAGTACCCTTTACACTGATAGCACACATGGTTTGTTTCCTTATCCTTTTTTGTAGGCCACAGCTGACATATTTTGGTTTTCTTGTTATTGTAGTAGGTCTTTGTGATGTTGCCTTTGCCTCTTTCCCTGTGAGCTCACCAGTGTTCTCCTTAATTTTTTTGTGTGTATTTAACCTGAGCAGAAACATTTGTTCTTCCTCTATTATAAATGATTTCTTACAAGTTCATGCCTATATATATATATATATATATATATATATATATATATATATATTTGGAGGGGGTTCTTTTTGAGATAGGGTTTCACTATGTAGTTCTGGTTGGCCTTGAAGTCACTTTGTAGCCCAGGATGACTTCATACTCACAGAAACCCTCCTGCCTTAGGCCTCCCTAGTGATGGGATTACAGATGTGTGCCACACATGTGGCAACCATGTAGTGTTTACTGTCAAGTAAAATACAATCATTGGCAATACTTTGTGTTTCAAGTAACATAATATTGCTGCATAACTCATCACCAACTTCTTCTCCATCTTTGATTTTGTTGTAAAAAGTTACCATGTTAGACCTCATTTTTGTTGAGGTTTCTCTGTCAGTTTTTCCATTAGAGTGCAATATTGTCATCAGCAGCACCAGTTTGCTTTTCTTTGCTATATACAAAGCCACTATTAATCTTTCTGAAATCCAAAGTTTGTACTATATAACTCTGTTTTAAAATTAAACATTTCATTGAGAATTTCTGCTGTCTTCTTGCATAGTTACTATCCTGGTCAACTTGAGCTGTTAACAAATGTAACATTAATTGGAAACTGATAAACTTATCAATGAATTTCACATTCTGATTAGTTTGAGGGATGGGAACAACAAGTCTATTCACAACATCATTTCGTTCATTTCTGTACAAATGAAGAGCTGGCTGAGTTCCAGCGTAAATTTCTAAATTGAAAACATCTAGCAAGGCATATTTTTTTCTCTTTTTGAGTCAGGGTCTCACTTTGCAGTTTAGCCCATATTGACCTTGAAACTCCAAGCAGTCATCCTGCCTAAGCCTCCCAAGGGCTGGGATTACAGGTGTGTACAAACATGTCCTGCTAGGGCATATATTTTTATATTGTAATTTGAAGGCTTTTTTGTTTGTTTTTTGACATATACTGCCTAAAACTGTACCGACCTGGTTTTTCAGGTATCATTGTACTGAACTGGGCAATTTCTACCGGGAAATTCAAAACAAAACTTTTTAAAAAACAAATCCTAAGTGCAAGAAATTCAAAAATGAACATTTCATTAGTGAAACTCAACTGTTGTTGATTCGGAGTTCTATACACGTCTTTCATCTGCCAGGGGGTGAATGCACAGATAGGTTCTTGTTTTTCCCAGGTACAGCTACTAGAAGAAACACCCAGATACCATTATGGCTGGTTATGTTTGCAAAACAAAAGAATGGTATTGATATATTTTACCCCCTGCAATGCTCAAGGATGCATATACTGAAGAAGCTATGCAGAGCATTATGTGGGTAAAAATTTCAGTTTGACATTTTTGTATAGATGTACACACCTTGCTGTGTATTGTACCAAATGAGTGAACACAAACATTGCTTCCTGTTTCTCTCAGGCGCAGCTACTGAGATGCACTGCTTGTTATTGTTATGCTAGAGTACATAATTTCATTAGTAAATTTAGGAATGGGTTACAGTAACCCTCAATA